AGGAAAATCTAAAATTTGCAACCCCCAACTCATTATGGTTCTTGAGATATTCAGGGTTCAATTTTCTTATTTATGCTGACTTAAAAGCAAAATGTTTTGAATCTTCCACATGGTGGATACAAAATTCAAATTGAAAATTTTTTAGACCACCTTAATTACCTGTATGCTGAATAATAAAGCCATATATTTTAAGGTATTTTGGCGGTCAAAATAATGATGTCACCTTGATAATTTTTTTTTGAGCTAAAGCTAAATGCTGAGTCGACATTGAATTTATGGCTAACTTATTTATAACAAAATTAGCTATATCTTAATTTTATATTGTAAAAAACATAAGAAAATATTCTTCTAATTTCAGTTTTTAGATAGTTGGTCGGACATTTACCATTTTTTGTCTTTATTTATTAATGACTTTTTTTGTTTTTTATAAATAAAGCTTTATGTTTCCTCTTTAATATTCTATTGCTTCTGTTTAGATTTCAAATATTAATTTCCTGTTACTTTGCAGGAATTTTATATTTACTTATCTAAATAATGAATTTGATAAGTAAATAAATTTCCTTTCAATCACATAAAAGGGGAAGTCATATAATATGGCACATCCAAGCAATTTAAATAAATTTCCATTAACTTAATAATGTTAATGGTATTTCTATAAAAGATTTATTATGTAAAATATTTTAAAATCAGATTACAAAAAGGAATAGAGTATAAATTAAGAATTAGGATTAAATGATGAATGTTATATTAGAATTGATACTTAACATGAGCTACATGCATCTCTCAATGAAAGTCTTGAATCTATAGATTTGTCACCTATTAACTTAAATCAATACACCAAACGTTACTATCTGCCAAAAAAAAATTGATCAAATAGCTGAAGCAATAAACAAACTAAATCTGCTTGTGATGATATGGGGGGCACAGTAAAACAAATAACTGTACAAGTCAGTTAAAAAAGGACATCAACTGATCAGCTTTTAGATGTAAATAAGATATTAGAATTTTGTGTAACCAATATAAAAAACATTCAATTCATTTCGACTTATAATACAGAAATAAACGAAGTTTGATCATCATTATAACCAAGGTTTATAATGGTAAACATTATAAACAAAGGAAGAAACTTGCCAGGAACAAGATGTTTCCACCATTTTAAACCAATTAATAAATATACAGCTTCTTTTAAAAGAATAAGTCAACAAACTGATGTTCAGACGTTTAATCTTGTGCAGACACCAAATGAACTGGTTGTGCAGCAGTTTATTTATAATCATATGGATTATGTAGCTTATAAGTATGACAACTTTTGGTGGATTGGAAATATAACCAAAAAGGATGAAGGAGAAAGAGATTCTAAAATTCAATTTATGCATCCACATGGTCCCAAGTTTTTCTTCGCCCCCATGAGAAGATATGTGTTGGGTCCCATCAAATCATGTTTTATCTACCATTGATCCACCATCTACAGCAAATTTGTATGCAAAATTTCAGTTAGTAAAAATTATTGAACAAAACAATAATGAAAATTTATATTTTATTTATATAAAAAAAAAATTATATATAATTTATTTAAAATACCAAATATTGGGATGAAACCTCATTTTTTTCATAAAATATTTCTGTTTAACAACATAATAGCATTTTGCAAAAAATGCTATTATGTTTTAAGTCAGCATAAAAATGTATGTATAGTTGATTTTAGTCAACTTTAGAAAATATATTAGTCGATTTAGTGGACCGTCAAATTTTATTTAAAAGTTATTCAAAATTTATTTAAAAATTGTAACAACACTAAAAAAAACCTAAAATATGATGAATCTTTTATTTAAAATTAATGGTGATCTTTAATTTTTTTATAAAAAATTAGCGATCACCATTTCTTGAAATAATATGCTTTCAAGGTTGCTAAATTGCGTAAGTTTATTGCAATTGGTAATTGCTTAATTAACCCCTGAATGCATCTATAGTTTTTTTATGAATGTTTAATACAATATGTTTGCAATTATCATATTTTATACTACTGTTATAGGGATATACTTATCATGTTTTATACTACTGTTATAGGGATATACTTATCATGATTTATACTACTGTTACAGGGATATACTTATCATGTTTTATACTACTGTTATAGGGATATACTTATCGTGTTCTATACTATTGTTACAGGGATAAACTTATTATGTTTTATACTACTGGTACAGGGATATACTTATCATGTTTTATACTACTTTTATAGGGATATACTTATCATGTTTTATACTACTGTTACAGGGGTATACTTATCATGTTTTATACTACTGTTACAGAAATATACTCATCATATTTTATACTACTGTTACAGAGATATACTTATCATGTTTTATACTACTGTTACAGGGATATACTTATCATATTTTATACTACTGTTACAGAGATATACTTATCATGTTTTATACTACTGTTATAGGGAGCACTGACTCTAACACTCTGCTCTGCCTTCTGGGTGAGTTGCTTACTATTTGTAATTGATATAATAATTTTAATCTAAATTAAAGAATGCTAAATTTTTGTGTGTTACTATAATTGATGGGATTTTTTAAAAATAACTAAAAAATTATTTTGTCAGAATCAATACCTAAAAATTAAAAAATAATAAGTTTTAGCAAAAGGAAAGATATGCAGACCAAAAATATTTTCAAAATATTTTACTTAAAATATTATGGAAATGTTTGCAACATAAAAAAATGATTTTCAAATCTTTTTTTTTTTTATGCTATTAAGTATGATTAAATTTGATTTATTTACATGTTTAAACAATTATGTTTAAGTATTTTTTTTATTTAAATAAATATTTTATTTAAATAACTGTTTATTTAGTGGAATAAAAAAGGATTAGTATTGTTGTTTGTTGTCATACAGTATTTTGCAATGACTTGGTGAGTATAATTTTTATTTTAATTACCAATATTCGTTTATACTGCTTCAAATTCTTTATTTTTTTAACTAATTTTTGTTTTGATATTGTATACATATAAAACCAAAACATATTATTCAAATGCAATAGCATATATGTATGCATGTATTGCATATATGTATGCATGTATTGCATATATGTATGCATGTATTGCATATATTATTTATATATAATATATTATATCATATATATAATTATATATAACAACTTAAACAAAAAGTAAAAAAAAAACTTGGTTGTAAAAAAAACAGTTAAACAAAACAATCAAATTACTGCACTCAGAATAAATTTGTTTGCTACAAGCAAGAAATTGTTGCTAAGGATTTAAAGATTTGAGGGAGTCAAAACTATTTTAATTGAGAAGGTCAAAACTGATTTAATTGAAGGAATCAAAACTATTTTGATTGTTTCAAAGTTTGTAATGATATTTCTTTTGGCAATTTAATTTAATTCAAGGCATATCTATGCATTATGCAGTAAGGCGGGTCATTTTTCAACTTTTTACAATAAATGCTTAGGCTATATGAATTTTAAATGTGTTGGCCCTTATGTAAAACTAATGCTAAAAAAAACAAAAAATTTTAATTTTTAGGTTTTCAAATTTGAACCTCAAAAACCCAGGTTTGGATAAAAAATGCAGTATACACGGTTTGCCTGCATTTTTGACAGGTTATTCTGGTTGACTCAAAAACATTTTCAATCAAATCCTCGATTCCAAATACCCTTTATTAGACACCTAAACAGTCATTTTAGCTTAAAAACTTGTGATTTTTAAAGTTTAAAAAGATTGTTATTTTTTGCTATACTTTGCTGTAATATCTTGCATAACAATACAGTATGACTGTAATGTAGAAAAAAATTTTCAAAATATACCTCAACCTCCACTTCAAATACTACCAATTAGAAGCATATAAAATCATTTATATGTAATATTTATGAATTTACTTGATCATACTAATTATATAACAAAGTTAGAACTTATTACTTAAAAAAACTTAAGCAAATTCTGTTTAGATTCTAAAACAGGAAGAAGTTTTCTGTGAGCAATTGTTGCCTTTTTAAACCCATTCGGCCTTTCTTGTCCGTAAACTATGCTAGAAGCTCTTGTAACTTCCTTCACAATTCTTTCTATGGATTGTCCGTGTACAGGGAATTTCAGAACTTCCATCAAGATTTCTAAAAACTTAATGAGTTCTTCTTTACTAATCTTGCATGTGAGCAAAAGTTCGTAAATATCAGTATTCCAATCAATCAGTTCAATAATAGTTCCAGCAAAATTTATCAAAGTAAACAAAAAAAAAATCTTACCTTTTAAAATCATAATACTGAGTATACACTAACACAGAACTGTGCAAGGTGTTTTAATTTCTCAGTATCGCTTCCATTTAGTCCAAGGTGTGAACACCAGTTTCTGCAAAGCCTACTTACCAAGTTTAACCAGCGTGCTTGATTATGGGTACCAACTTCAATTTCTTTTAAATTGTCTGGCATTATTTTATCTTTAATAGCTTTTGTTATACGGTATAAATATCTTTGATCACTCGATAAATTTTGCAATTTACCTTCATGGATATCTAATAAATTAATTTCAGTATCTATAGATTGAATTACATTGGTTGAAATTTTGAGATGATTGGCAATAGGGACAAGTTTACAAAAATTGCTAGAAAATGTATTATTTGATATATTGTTTTTCCATTAATAACTGACACTGAGTGCCTCAAAAGGAAATTCATTTGTGTGCAAGGCACAAATTATCCAGTTAAGTTTGTTTTGAAGTTTGTTTTCTAAAAAAATGAATAATACCCCCTTTCCTAAAAAATACTTATTTAAATATATGCATAGCATTTAACATCAAATATTTACCTGTATTTATTATCAAACATTTACCTGTATTAAGATTGGTTGAACCACAGCCAACAGCAACTAGAGTGGATTCTATACCATGTTCTATAATCGATTTATATATATGTTCTGCTATATGTTCTGCTGGGGGTAACAAACTCAGATCTTTTTTCTTCATCATTTGTAAAATGGTACAGATATAAACCGCCTGGCTCTGCACAAACTGAATAATGGTCTTCTTGTACAAGTCTGTGGTGAAATTTCCCATCTTCTCCAATCAAATAAAATTTTGTCTTATCCTTTCTCCGATCAAACATTATACATTGAACTCCATTTCTTTTTACCATATCATCATTTTCAGATTTTAATTGCTTCATCACCTTCAGTTTAGAGGATTCAATTTTCTTGTGATCTGTCACTGTTTCACTGTCAGTCTCATTTGTTTTAAAAAAGCCTGTCTCTTTAGCTGCTTTCAGTTTTAGTGTTGAAATTGCAGGAGTTTCTCTATTTGATACAAGGTAGCTTAATGATGCTAATGCAACTTCTTTCATATTCAATGACTTTTTAGAAACTTGTCTGCTTATGTACTCAGAATTTGTTTCTGAATTTTCTTCGCTTTCAACATCTTCATTGTCAGTACTCTAAAAATTTTCAATTGAAACTTTAGTTTGTTTTTTTTGAGAATAAAAAGGTATGGATTCTATTTGTGATTTCTTTTTTCCAGTTTCCTTCTTTTTATAATTTTTTTCTCGTCTGTTAACTTCTTAAAAATCTTGAGCACCCATTTGCATACAACTTTTTGTCCTAAATTTGCATACAACTTTTTGTCCTAAATTTGCATACAACTTTTTGTCCTAAATTTTTCTCTTTGTGATTTCATAAACTGAAGTTCTATTCTGGGAATTTTGTTTTCTCTCTTTCATTGACAAGAGATATGAGCTTTAAAAACACAAGAACTAGAACTTGTTTTTAACCATTGTGTTTTCACTTTAAAAAAAATCTTTTTGCATGTATCTTTAAGTTTTGCATTTGCTTTACAGTTATTATCTCTTCTTAAAAGCAGACCGTATTTAATAACATCTCTTAATGTTGGTAACTCAGAATCTAAAAATTCACTTGCAAAACCAATAATAACACTTAATTTGCAACTTTGACTATTTTGACGTATTCGTTTAGCGATTAATAAAGAACTCAAAATTGATAATAGTTTATAAACAATATTTATTGTGAGCTTAGTGTGTCAACTCAAATGCAGCATTTCAAATGCATTCTCTTATGATTGATATTTCTCAAGTTATTTCATATAATTTGTTAAATAAATTCAAGTTTAAATAAAATATTCAATCATAACAACGCAAGATATTACAGCAAAATATAACAAAAATAATGATCTTTGTAAACTTTAAAAATCATAATTTTTAAGCTAAAATGACTGTCTAGGTGTCTAATAAAGTGAATTTGGGATTGAGGATTCAATTAAAGATGTTTTTAAGAATTCAAAATAACCAATAAAAAGTTGCAGCAAACAGCCTATAACCCATTTTTTACCCAAGACCTCAGTTTTTGAGGTTCAAATTTGAAAACCTAAAAATTAAATTTTTTTTTTTTTTTTTTTCTATTATTTTTATATAAGGGCCAACACATTTGAAATTTATATGGCCTAAGCGTTTATTGTAAAAAGTTGAAAAATGACTCGCCCTAATATACAGTCTTAATAAATTTTTTAAGCTAACCCAATTGACCGTGTTTGGTCCTGAGTCTGTTTTAATAAATTATTTATTTACTGTTATTTTTACATGTTGTATTTAAACAACCTGTTTTTTTTTAAACAAACAAAAAAGCATAAAACAAAACAAAAAAGTTTTCAAAAGCCTTTTTTATTTTATCTATGACTTTTATTGAATGTTTCTGAAAATATTCATCCACATTTTTGTTAAAGAATAATTCTGTGCCATGTCATTTATTACATTAAAACAAATATTTTAAATAATAAATAGTTGAGTAAAAAAGATTTTTATTATTGGCATAAGCACAGTGTGTAGTTACCAACATAAGCACAGTGTGTAGTTACCAACATAAGCACAGTGTGTAGTTACCAACATAAGCACAGTGTGTAGTTACCAACATAAGCACAGTGTGTAGTTACCAACATAAGCACAGTGTGTAGTTACCAACATAAGCACAGTGTGTAGTTACCAACATAAGCACAGTGTGTAGTTACCAACATAAGCACAGTGTGTAGTTACCAACATAAGCACAGTGTGTAGTTACCAACATAAGCACAGTGTGTAGTTACCAGCATAAGCTCAGTGTGTAGTTACCAACATAAGCACAGTGTGTAGTTACCAACATAAGCACAGTGTGTAGTTACCAACATAAGCACAGTGTGTAGTTACCAACATAAGCACAGTGTGTAGTTACCAGCATAAGCTCAGTGTGTAGTTACCAACATAAGCACAGTGTGTAGTTACCAACATAAGCACAGTGTGTAGTTACCAACATAAGCACAGTGTGTAGTTACCAACATAAGCGCAGTGTGTAGTTACCAACATAAGCACAGTGTGTAGTTACCAACATAAACACAGTGTGTAGTTACCATCATAAGCACAGTGTGTAGTTACCAACATAAGCACAGTGTGTAGTTACCAACATAAGCACAGTGTGTAGTTACCAACATAAGCACAGTGTGTAGTTACCAACATAAGCACAGTGTGTAGTTACCATCATAAGCACAGTGTGTAGTTACCATCATAAGCACAGTGTGTAGTTACTAACATAAGCACAGTGTGTAGTTACCAACATAAGCACAGTGTATAGTTACCAACACAAGCACAGTGTGTAGTTACCAACATAAGCACAGTGTGTATTTACCAACATAAGCACAGTGTGTAGTTACCAACATAAGCACAGTGTGTAGTTACCAACATAAGCAAAGTGTGTAGTTACCAACATAAGCACAGTGTGTAGTTACCAACATAAGCACAGTGTGTAGTTACCAACATAAGCACAGTGTGTAGTTACCATCATAAGCACAGTGTGTAGTTACCAAAATAAGCATAGTGTGTAGTGCAACTCTTTTTTATTTATTTGTTAGTAAAATCTTGTCTCTGAAGCAGCTTCAAATAATGGATTTTTGCAATTTTGTTTTTGGATAAAGAAACTTTAGTTGATGATTAAGGTCACAGTTGAAGCATTACTTACTTCAGTTAATGATTAAGGTCAAAGTTAAAACATTGCTTACTTAAGTTAATTATTAAGGTTACAGTTTGAAACATTGTTTACTTTACAAACTGCTTATAAGGCATAAATAAAGGTTATAAATAAATGAAATGGAAAATTAACTTAAAGATAAAAAAGATATAAATTTGTAAATGAAAAAAAAAAAATATCTTTTCTATCTACAAATTAAAAGAATTTTTTTATTCTTTACTTTTTTTATTCAAATATATTTTGTAATATATTTTGTTTTTTAACTAGGTATTGTTTGTCCTACATACCTTTTGCCAGGTATATTTATTTAGTTTCTATTTAACTGTGGTTTTTCAAGTATTATCTCTTTCACTTAAGTTCTCTTTATTAATTTATTACAAGTATTATCTCTTTTAGTTAAGTTCTCTCTAATAATTTATTACAAGTATTATCTCTTTTAGTTAAGCTCTCTCTAATAGTTTATTACAAGTATTATTTCTTTTAGTTAAGTTCTCTCTAATTATTTAAATTAAACTATAGCGCCAAACACGATTAAACATAAAAAACTATCATTAACACTATATTGTCTTAAACTATCTTTTACAAATAATTGCGGTTCTGAAAATAGATTTTTATCCCTAGCATCTTACTTCTTGCAGAATTCATCATATCTACTTTATTATATTTTGATTTACAAAAACTTTACTTGTTCTTGTCAATTTCTTGAGAAAAGTTATTATTTCTTTTTTTTTAGTTTCTTGAGATTTTTGGTAAATTTTGGTGTCATTTTAAAGCAGTAACATTCTCTCATACATGAGTCTGACTTGATTAACTCTCATAATGTACTATTTATAAAAATAATCTTTTAAATTTTTTTACATCCCAGTGAAGCTGGGTAATTTATCTTAACTACTTGATCTTCTGTTGTTCTTAATTAAACTCTTCTTTCCTAAATTATAAGAATGTTATTTGTATTCCTAACTTAATAAATGGCAACCCTCTTACTGAGTCTTCAGCTTTGTATTTTCTATGATTTATATATATATATATATATATATATATATATATATATATATATATATATATATATATATATATATATATATATATATATATAAAGGGTATTAACCAGGAATAAATTTAATTCAGCGTTTTAATGAAATTAGGAATTCGTCAAAATATTGCCCCCCCCCCCCCCTCCCTCCTGAGATTTAAATGTGTTATTTTTTTCCTCTTCTACTCCACTTCAGCGCTGTATACATTGATTAGACAGTGCCAAAAATAAAATAAAACACTGTCCGCAAAATTTATTGAAAATGAATATGAAATCAACTCCTTAATTAAAAGTGGTTTCACAAAGACACGGCAAACTGAACTCCGATTACCAAGAATTATATATTTTTGTATTGTTTTAATCAGTGTATATTAATTAGTTATCATTAAGAATCTTACATTTGATCTATTTAAATCTTAATATATCCTTGCTGTTTTCATTTTAAGAGTATTCTTTTAAATGTATATTTCTTTTTCATTAGTGGGCATTAAAGGGCGGTTTTTAAAGTAATATAGCGATTTATGTTCAATGAAATCTCAGCGGAAGAGAGCCAATGATCTTCTACTTTTATTTATTATTTAAATTCTGCTTGACGTCCTTTATGGACAAACCCTTATAGACCATCATGTAATAAATTGTAATGTCAAAAGAAATGTTTTAAAAATAGAAAAAAAGAATTGAAATTTATTTTGAAAATAGTAAACTTGAGTTCGTAAGATTTATATTTTGCATTTATTGCAAGTTCAACTTAATAATTAATGATAATTATATTTATAAATAAATTGCATAGCAAAGTAAAGTTACAATTACAAAGTCTCAGCAAAAACAACCACAAGGATCTAACTACAAAAGAATATTGATTGCAGGCAATTGCACGCAATCTTTGGAACGAAAAATACCAATAATTATTTTTTCATTCATAGTCATAAAATGTTATCAAGACAGAAAAAAAATAAATTTATGCCATAACACAAAAAAAAAATGTTTGTATTATCAACAAAAAAAAACAGACCGAAGATTTTTTTTTTTAACTTTTTTTTCCTAAAATCACGATTGCTTGTTCAAATAATATAAGATTTTAAATAAATATTTTGTTTAATATTGGCAATTTTTCGTAATTGTAAACTCTTTCTTGAGCTAGGATAGTAAATTAAGACACTTTTTTAAAACTTTTTCATTAAATGTTAGTTAACGCTGTTAAGCAGAATTGATCTAAAGACTCAAAAATGGGGTTCTTTAGATTTACAAAAGAAGTAATAAGTTTTGAAAATTATATAAATAAGCCATTTCTTTTTCATTCAAAGTTTCTTTAAACATTCATTCTCATTTATTCAAAGTTTCTTCAAACATTTTAAAAACTTGAAGCAAAAAAAAGTTATAATGTGTAAAGCTCTTTTTTGGACATAAGACACTAACAAAATCATGCTAATTTCAACCTAGTGGGCACTGGATGTAAAAAAGACGCCTTTGAAACGTCTTTTAAACGTTTTGAACATCTTTTGAACGTATTGCACGTCTTTTGAATGTTCAAAAGACATCCGATACGTTAATAGCTCAGTGGTTAAGTGTACTGTCATCAGTTTTGTTTTAGGGGGTTTCTTTTTTAAGTACCGTGCCCACTGGGAAATAAAAGAATTCAAATAATCTAAAATTCACCTTAACTTCACCGAGTTATTAAAACAATTTCTTGTAACAGTTTATAATAATTGTTAAACCTTTTTTTGTATTTAGCATATATTTCATAGGTGGCTTTTTAAAAATATTAGTCGAGAAATGATTGTAGATAAATAAAAAAAGATTGATGCAAATAAGTAAAAAAAGATTATAGTTGTTGATCACCTAATTCAGTTGATATAAAATACTAAATAAAAAACAAAAAAACAATAACTGGAAACTTACCGTAATATACTGTAATATATCGATGATTTAAATAAACTTTTCGATATTTAAATGAACTTTGTTGATAAAGCACACAAATTACTTGAAGTAGAGTTTGGAGTAAGATTTAATAATTTATTTAAGAAATTTTAGGCATTTATAGGTGTCAAGCAAATTTGTTAATTTTTTAGATAGTACTTTATTTCTTGCTAACTTTTTTATATAATATTTGCTGATGTAAGAAGGCATTGCAAATAATTTGCAAACGGGACCCCACAGGGCTAGTTTACACCCTGGTATATATATATATATATATATATATATATATATATATATATATATATATATATATATATATATATATATATATATATATATATATATATATATATATATATATATATATATATATATATATATATATATATATATATATATATATATATGTATATATATATATATATATATATATATAGGTAATTCTTTAGTTAAGCAACTAAAATAAAAGTATTTGCTTTTTTGCGCTTGTCACAAATATGTCTGAACAATGATTGATACATCTTTAATAAGTATGTCTGATGTAATGCATTCTTTAACATTAAAAAAACCTGTTTATTTAAGGGTTATGGTCTGAGTTAAGGTTTAGGGTTAGTTATCAAATTAGAACAATCTTATCCTTGTCTTATCCCTATACGGACCATTGCGACCTTCATTCTGACCCTAAGCATGACACTCATTACCCTAAACCTTGCCCTCACTTGATCTATTTTTTATTTATTTATTGAAAGGTGCATTGTTTCAGATGTAATTGCAAGAAGCCCCAAAAAAGTATACAAATAACTTTAATTTACGCTGCTTAACTGAGGGATTACCTAATACATGTTTGACACTACAATAATTTTTAGTTTTCAATAATAGAGATGCTGTAAAGAAGTGCATTGACACTTCAATAACTTTTACTTTTCTCTTTTAGAGATGCTGTAAAGAAGTGCATTGAATCTTGTCTTGGTTAAGATTGACGTCTAGAACTTTATTTTTATTATTTTTTTTTTTTGTTTTTTATACTATATTTTTATTTATAATTGAACTTTAATTAATATTTTTGATGTTGATTGTTATAGAATAGTTAAGTTGTTATTATTAAAAACGTAAAAGCAAATATATAATAGTTACTTCCCATAAATATTTTTTAATTGTATTTGTAAGTTTGTTGCTAAAGTTTATTATTATTATGCGTTAAGCACTTATTTAGCAATTAGACAATTTTAAAATTTAGTTTGAATTTTAGTTTCCAATTTAGTAGCAATATTCTATTTTTAATTTTATATTTAAATTTCTGGATTTTTTGTTTCAATTTTTGCTTTAAATACATGTTAACATTTTGCTTTAATTTTAAATTAAGTTAAAAAGCTTTAAAATGCGAAAATTTTAATTATTTTATTGTAAATCTTTTTTTTAAATAGTTCACAATAAATGCTTCAAAAAATCCATAAATCAATGTTTACATTATTTTAAAATACTAACATTTACTTTCTATTTTTGTGTGTGCGATCTTTTGGTTAAGCAGTTTTACAAATAAATTTTTATGATACAAATTTTGTTTTTGGGTGCAGATGCATTTATCAATTATTTATGTGAAAATAAATTTTTACTAGAATACTTTTTTTTTTCTGTTATTACAATAAAAAACCTGTTCTTCAGTTTTTTAGTATGGAAAATATATATGTTATCTAATTTTGTTAATATTGTTTTTAAGTTTTTTATTTATCATTATAGAATTGATAATGTATATAAAATATTTTAAGTATTATTTACTCTTTTTTCAGTTTTTAATACTTCATGAATATTCATTTATTTTCATGTAATGGATAATGGAGATCCTTTTGTGGAATTGATTCCACAGGATATAACAATTTCAGGTTTATTAATGTTATAATTAGTTAGGACAAAAAATGTCTACAGTTATATGTTTTTTTATATATTACATAGAGAGATTTTTTAAATTTTATTAAAGTTTAATAGCTACTTTCAAAGTTTATGTGAAAGGTGATTTGGCTTTAAATCTTTTGTTTATTTTATGGTGTGTATATTATAACTTTATTTTTTTGTTTTTATTTTACCAAAATATTCAAAATGTGATGTTGAAAAAGATTTTTTTCTATTACATTAGCTCCCTCTTTAATTGAAAAGAACAGTTCATCTTCAGTTTCACAAGATAAATATGGTGTACAAAATGTTTATGTCACACCTTGCAAGTTTTCTACATCTCTGGGTGAAAGAAGAAATTTGATAACTAAAAATGATGTGACCGAAGCAACAAATGGATTAACTGTACTTGATCAAAGTTGGTCTCACAAAAGTTAGTAATTTTTTTTTTGTGAGTTGATATTTTAAATTTTTCTTTGTGAGTTGATATTTTAAATTTTTAGTTTAACTTATTTAAAAGAAATTTTGAAATTTAAAATTTTTTTCTCATGTAAAAGATTTTAATTTAAAAGTTGCTTATTTTTCAGCAAACTCCGTTCTTTCTTCCCAACAAGATTATTTAAAAATTGATCACTTTCAAGAGTTGTTTGCTGTTAAGAACAATATTATAGAACAAAAAGATATAATTATGCAAAAGTGAGTTTTTTTTATTACTAATAATGAAAATAAGCATATTTGAAGTTGTTTCTTTTTTTTTTTTACTTTTGGTAGTTAGCTCAGATTACACTAAAAACTTTTAATTTTTTGTTAGAACAAAAAATATTTACATAAAATATTTCAAAAAAGATTTAAAGTAAAATGAAAATAACATTTATTAGTTATATAAATAAAACCGAAAATGGAGAAATAAAAAGGAGAAAAAAAAATGCTATGCAAGAATTGTTTAAATCTAGCTTGAAGTATTTGTGATATATTTATATAGAGAAAAAACAACTTTTCTTAAAACTATAAGTTTCGGCAATCATCAGCTCTGTACTATATCAAAAACAAACAAAAAAACGTTAATAAAATTACAAAATACAGTGGAGCAACATCTGACATCTCTATGGAGACAACAAAAAAACTTCAAAAAAATTTTAAATAAATCAGCTAATCCCCAGTATCATATAACGAAAGAAGAAATTTATTTTTATGTCTACAATTTGAAACCAACTCGTTTTTTTTTGTTCAACAGATTTGCCCCTGTATGCAATAAAGTATAAAACTTTTCATTAAGACAAAGGTTGCAAATTTCGGACAAAGGATTATATGTTTGGCAGGGCTTGATAATTTTCCACCTAGTAAAAAACAAAAAACTTTCTTCTTGAAGTTTCCAAAATTCTTAAGATAATTCCATATCATTTCTGTACTTAATTAAGTTAAAAGATATTTAATGGTTTGCATACCTTAACTTGAAAGGGGTCTCACTAATACCAATATAAACTTTTTCTGTTTAATCTGGTTTAATGGATGAAATTTGATATACAATATTCTTACTTAGACACTGATTGTTTATAATGCAGGTAGATTTATTGGTGCAGTAGCAGATTTTTGTTGCTGTTTTTTTATGATTGTATATTTTTTTATGTTTTTTTGATTATGCAAATTGATGGCTGACTTAATGTTTGACATACATGGGTAGCTAATTTTTATATGCATTTTGTAATTTGTATTTTATAATTTTATTAACGCTTTTTTGTTTGTTTTTAATATAGTGCTGATGATTGAAACTTATAGTTCCATGAAAAGTTGTTATATATATATATATATATATATATATATATATATATATATATATATATATATACACCGCTCTATTTAGTTTGTTTACTTTCTTTAATGTTGAGCACTCTTAACCGAAATAGAGTCTTTTATTATTATTGTAATACAACATTTAACATCAATCGATATATACGCTCCTGTTAGTTGAACACTCTTCTCGAATTTGTACCCAAGATGGAGAAAGTTAACTTCAACTACTCTATAAAAAATATTCCAATTCCATCGAAAAAAAATTTTTAATACAATTAATGCATAAACTGAGGTTCTTATAAAAAGAATGAGGTGGAAAGCTTTGTTTCTTATGAACTTTCTGATAACAAAGAATCGTCTCAGTTTATAAACTACGGTATAAAATGTGCGAAATGCCCACCAATTATAAAAAGAAATGTCGTTATTTGAACAAGATATGTTAAACTTTGTAAAAAATATAAAATTTCGTAAAATCCAGAACTAATTTTAATAAAGAATATCAAAAGATATAAAATCACTTTATGTATCGCCCATGACACTAATCCAAGCTAACAAATCATCTAATATGTACAGAGTGTCTAAAGATAGATACAACCACCTCCTAATGAATGCCATAACATCCACATATGAAAAAGATGACCATAATCTAAACCATAAAATAAATAAGGAAAGTAAGAAAATTTTTAACAATGTGTTTAACAAAATTGAGTTAAATGGTACTTCTAATTGCTTCTTAACTCTCAAAGACCACAAATTAAACTTTTTAAATAACCCTACTGTCCGCCTGTTAAACCCAGCAAAAAATGAAGTAGGACGAATTTGTAATCAATGTAAAATTGTAATCAATGTTGCACTAAGAAGAAACCTCTGCCTAAACCAATGGAAAAGCCATTGGTGTAAGCAGAGGTTTTAAGCTTGCATTGGTTTAAAGAGGTTTTAAATTCACAGGATGTATTTTGTAATTTTATTAATGTTTTTTTTTTGTTTTTGTTATAGTGCATGGCTGATGGTTGCTGTATAGGCATGAAACTTATAGTTCCATGAAAAGTTATTTTATCTCTATGTAAATATGTATGTGTGTGTGTGTGTTTCTACTAAAGCATATTTATGTAAGGGTTTGCTCACTTTTTTTGCTTATTTAAATCGATACAGATTTTTTAGAAAAAAAGAGAAAAAAACAAAGAATAATAAATGAAAAGATTGCTGCCCCGTGTTAAACTCTCAATCGATGTAGCAGCACTCCACTGTGAATAAGGCTATTTATCAGTCAATGTATGTACTGAAGCCCCCTGCAGCAGGCTATTTCAGTATGGCGTCACACTGCTCCCCTATATCAGCAGTATAAGATATATATTTTATATATATATATAGGCTTGGTCAGGAAGCAAGAGCGATTGCAAGAGCGATTGCTCTCAAATATTGACCACGGAAATAATATTTAGTTGCAAAAAACTTTATCAGTTGTTTTTAACATAAAATTTTTGTTTTACAGACATACATGGAAACATAATAAACTTGAATGTTCTCAAAATGTCTTAGTGTGGAAGAATAAAAAGAATATTTGCGAACACTAAAAACCCGCTAAATTAAATTAAAATACGCTGACTAAGCGAAATAAAGTATGCTATTGAATTGTTTTAGAATTTGTATTATTTACAATTTGCTACATTTTGAGATTTCTAGCATAAATTGTTTTAAGAATATATTATCAATACTCATTGGCTCATTCTTGGAGAAACATCTGAAAAACCATAAATCTTTTAAACTATTATTATTTGTTTATAAAAATAAATGTTTTAAATATATACTATTTAAATTGCCAAAATTTTGAAAGTTTATTATAAATTATAGATTTTATTAGTATGGTCTTATTTTTTATTTAAAAAGTATGCATTTTTTATGTAAATGTAATTTTGTATATCTGTTTTTTATCATAATGTAATCTTTTGAAGCAATTTTTATGATTTTTTTTTTTTTTTTTTTTATTTTACTTCACCTCCTCAAGGCCGAGAAGGCCACTACAAACGAGGAGGCTACTTATTTTGTGGCTATAACCCTCTCTCAACTCTATAACTCCGAAACACGAACCTTGACGAACAAGGCCGCTGCGCTGAGAAATGAGTTGAGCGCGGTACTACCAGGGACGTGGTGGAGATTGAACTCGGAACCACTCGTTTATGAAGCGAGCGCTCTACCACTACACCACTACCGATTTAATTTTTAAACAAAGACTTACAAAAATAATTGTGTTTTCAATGAAGTTATTAATAATCATTAAAGTTAATAAAACTAATTATGTAACAAACATATAAGAATTTTCTGGTTACTAAACACAAACAATGCAAACTCGCGGCTGAACACACATATATATATATATATATATATATATATATATATATATATATATATATATATATATATATATATATATATATATATATATATATATATATATATATATATATATATATATATAGCAAGTTATAAGATATTAAGAAAAATTTCTAGATATTGGTTTACTAAGTTGCCATTCTTAAAAACTTGTTATACTTTTTTCTGCTTTAAATACCAATTAAAATTAAAAAGCCCACTCACTAAACATCATCAGCGATGTTGTGAAGCGGTTTTGCTTCTTTGTCATAAAGTATTTTTAACCTTTTTAGTTGATTTCTATCTAGTTAATTTAATTTCTATAGTAATTCAATGATTTAATTATTTCATTTGTTTATCTTACTAAGAAGAATTGTTTAAATATGTTAAACTTTTCAAATTATGCGAAACATAAAATAGGTGTTAAAAAAATTTACTTTTTTATTTATAAAATAATTTAGCTTAGAGAAAACTAAAACTTGCATTAGTTTTATTAGAATCTTGTTAGACTTTTCGGGGCCAGGGTCTATTTTGGACGCCTTTGTATGTGTCACAGCATAAAAATGACAAAACAAAAAGGTCTTCTTGACTTTTTTGAGGCCCTTACATTGTGGGGCCCGGGGCTATAACTCCCTCTAAATCCAACCCTTCTTAATCTAGCACTGGAAATAAGACACAAGTATATAAATAAAAGTTATATTTTTCCTTTTTAAACAATTGTAAGATGTTACTTTATATAAAAAACGCCGCCTAATTTTATAAAAAAATTATAAAAGAGCGATGTTTCGAAAATATTTGTTCTAAACCTAATTTATTTTGCTTTAAGTTTTTTTGCGTTAAAAGATATTTTATTTTCCTAATTTTTTTTTTTTTTCGTAATTGTCTCTCATTGGTCCAATTAATCTTTTGCGCATTTTTTTTTTTTTTGCTTTTTGAAATGTTCTCAAAACGACTAAAAAATCTGGCCAGCTTTTCGCAACTAAATATTATTTCAGTGGCCAGCAATCGAGAGCAATCGCTCCAGCTTTCCGACTAAGCCTGTATATATATACTATAGTTAATGTAACTGCATGCAAAAAAAAATTCGTATGCTCGAATTGTCCTTCCTTTATTGGAAAAACGTAACTTTTTTTTTAAGTATTTAAAGTTCCAAAAAAAGTGTAGACTGTGGAATATAATTGATATTCTTTTTGTACTAAAGCCCTGGCAGCAGGCTATTTCATTATGATGTCACACTGCTTGTCTAAATTAGCAGTATAAGATATATATATGTATATATATGTGTGAGTATATATATATATATATATATATATATATATATATATATATATATATATATAATAGTTGTTTAAAAACTATAAATCTGCATTTGAAAGTTAAAGTAACTGCATGAAAAAAATAATTGGAATGTTTGAATTGTCCTATCCTTTGTTGTAAGAACTAGCGTAACTTTTTTTTTTGGTATTTAAAGTTCCAAGGACAGAGTAAACTCTATGGAATAAAGGGTATATTATCTTATTGATATTCTTTTTGCAATTTCAAATTTTGTTTAGGCAAAAGCAACTAAATGAGTTAGTTCAAATAACACTCTATTTTTATAATATAGTTTAGAATAAAAACTTGAATTTGAGTTTACTCATATTAATTGTTTTAATTTGCCAACTAATGCTGCTTCAATTTTAAAAAAATAAAAATTATTTGAATTTTTCATCTAAAAGATTTTTTAAAATAGTATTTATCTAAATTGAAAATTTTAATTAGAAAAAAAACAACTGTTTTAGACAAAAAACTATTATCAACCAACTTCGTCAAACAAACTTAGAACTAGAAGAACTTCTCATTCAAAAGCAAGAGGAGATTCAAGCTAGTGGTTTAGATTCTCTTGTTTTGCAAGTTCGAGAATACAAATATGAAAATAGTCAGTTAAAACAAAAACTTACACAAATAAATAACTCCAAGTATTCAGACGTAGAAAAGCTTCAAAAAAAATTAGGGTTAGATTTTTGTTTTTACTTTTAAAATTTTTTTTTTTTTAGTATATTTAATCATTTAATAAAAGTTTTATGTTTTTTTTAGAAAGTATGAATATGATAGTTTTATGAATGTTTTTTTAGGGAGTGTGAATATGAACACAGCAAATTAAAAACTACTATGAAAGAAATGGAAATATCAAAAGTTACAGAAGTGTCAAAGTTACAACAACAGGTTGTTGAATTATATCTACATTTTCAGTTTTTTATAGTTAGTTGATTCTTAAAAACTAGAATTTCAATTTGTGCTTAAAGTTGTTTATATACTCATTTCAAACCTCACTTTTTTGTTTGTTTCTCCATATAATGTACTTGTTTCATTTTGTCAAAGTTCATGTTTTGGTCTCAGTGTTGAGAGTCATAATATCTTAACTGCAGCGTCATCTTCATCAATGATTAGGTGAATGTTAATAAATAAAGATATTTATTAACCTTTTAGTGAACATATAAAAAAAATTATTAAGTATATAAATTTAATATTAAAGCAAATCTGTTTAAACTTAATAATAAATTTGGTTCATTCAAAAATTTTTAGTTTTTTAACAAAAATAAAATGTAATATTTAAAAAAAAGCACTTTTTTAAAATTTCACATTTAAACTAAATTGTTTATTAAGTTGTTGTTTTTTTTTATTTGAATTTAATTTTAATTTTTTAAATTGAACAACAATATATATGCTTGAACAATTTTTTTAAATTTTTCTTAAATTTATTCATGAGGTAAACATAGATATGATTTTAATATTGTTTCTTTTCTTTGTTAAATTGAAGTTAGAAATGAAAGAACACATTTTATCAATGGAGCAAAGAAAAAGTGAAACATATCTTAGAGAGCTTAAAGAAGCTAAGTATGTTTATATTTGTTAAATATAGATTATTTTTTTAGTTTTTTAGTGTAGAGATGAAGTTTTAAAAGTATAAAATGAATTATAAGATGATTTTTTATAAAATGTAAAATGATAAATGATAAAATAAAAAAATAATTTTAAATATAAATATTTGAAAAAATAATTCAAAGAGATTAAAGCATGTTTTAAAATAAGGGTGTGTGGGTGTGAAATAGAGGTTTGTGCATGTAAAATAAGAGTGTGCGTGTGTTAAATAAGAGTGTATGCATCAGTGTGGATGTGTATCAGGGTATAGTTCTCAGTGCTCAGTTCTTTGCTTTTGTTTATTGTCTTAAAAACTCTCTAAAGAGTTTAATGTTGTATTTTTATACAGATGATTTATGCTTAATTTCAAAAACAGAAGACATCATTAGAAGAAGTAGGTCAAATATGACAACAGTATTTTGTTCAAGGACAAATAATAAATTTATCGAGGTTAAGAATGGAGTCAGGAGTACGAAAATGTTGAGCACAATAATTTGAGAGAGGCAACCTCAGCAGATGCTAGCTTTACATTGCATTGCATTGTATTTGTGGTTCCCATGAGAGTTCAGTAATAAAAAAGAAGACATAAAGTAGAGCACTAAGTGAGATTTTTATTTTTCAATAAAAGAATATCAACAATGTTGATATTCTTTTAAAACAATTATCAGCAATTACAGTTAATTATATACCAGTTACAATTTTAATGGTATCAATATGTTTATATAAAAAAAAATGTGTGTTTTTATATTTTATAAATATGTGTGTTTATTTAAAGAGGTGTGTGTATATTTATAGAGGTGTGTGTGTGTGTATACTTTTTGAAAATAAGGAAATAAAATCAATAAAAATCATAATTCAAATCTATCAAAAATATTCCTGTTCCCTCAAAATTAACTGGCATTTTCTCAAAAAATTTCCACAAAATACAATGGCTTGTGTGAAAATGTTAAAATAATGACTTATGTTTATGTAAACTAAACAATATGTAGTTACAAAAAAATGTATTAATCATAAATAATTTTTCTTTAGTTATAAAAATGAGCTCAAAAAAAAGAATATGTAAGAAAATGTCTTTTCAAACAAATTCTACAAAGATAACATTGCTGCTGCTTATTTTAACATTAATCCCAAAGCAACCATTAGAAAAGGAGTCAAAATTTTCAAAGTTTCAATCACACAAACTCATAAATAGTTAATAATCAAGACAATTATCAAATATCATCACCAGGAATCAATAGCAAAACAGGTCGAGCAACAAAGAGCTGTCACTTGCCCTAAGTTTGGGCACTTATATAAAAAGTTTTATAACAAAAAATTTATTTTTGATAACAAAACTTATTTTACTTTGCCAAACTCTGCAGTTGTCAGGAATAAAGGGTATTACTCCTGTGTCCCCAAGAATGCTTCTCCAGACCTCAATTACAAAAAAAAAGCTTGAAAGTTCGAAATTAAAGTATTGGTTTGCAATTAGTCCCAAAGGTATGACTAGACCAGTAATCAACCAATCTGGCTATTCTGTTAGCAAAAATATGTGCAAAAAAGATTGCATTGAAAATATTTTAATTACAATCATACATAAACAATATCCTGATAACAATTATGTTTTTTGGCCTAATTTAACTTCAGCTCATTATACCAAAAATATAATTGTTATGATTGGGCAGTGAAAGTATCAATTATGTTCTTAAGAAAGATAATCCTGCCAACTGTCCTGAGATATTAAATAGAAATAAAAATTTATACATAACGCTAATCAAAGTCTTTTGAAGTTATTATTATATTATAATATACATAAGGCTAATTGAAGGCTTTTAAGGTATTTGAAAGGTTTAGTCTACAAGGGAAAGAAAGAAACCAAAAATAATCAAAAATTAATTGGAAGAATCAAGGGATGTTTAAAAAAAATCACTTCAGAGGTAGTACAGCAGTTTTCAAGCTTGACCAAAAGAAGATTTAATGCAGTTCGACTTCAAGGATTACCAGAAAAAAATTCAAAGGAAAATAAAAACTCTTAATTTTTATGTTTTTTAAGTTTTAACATCATTATATTATAATCATATATTATCATATATTATAACATAATATTACATGTATATATTATAATATATATATCATATATTATAGTGTTGTGACCAAAACTAAAAATTGTAACTAAACTAAAAAAACCGTAACTAAAATTAGCAGACTAACTTTTTAGTTAACTAAAATTAGTCGACTAATTTTTTAGTTAACTAAAATTACCCGACTAACTTTTTTGTTAACTTAAATTAGTCGACTAACTTTTTAGTTAACAAAAAATCAGTCAACTAACTTTTTAGTTAACTAAAATCAGTCGACTAACTTTTTAGTTAACTAAAATCAGTCAACTAACTTTTTTAGTTAACTAAAATTACATGACTAACTTTTTAGTTAACTAAAATTAGTCGACTAACTTTTTAGTTAACTAAAATTAGTCGACTAACTTTTTAGTTAACTAAAATTACCCAACTAACTTTCTAGTTAACTAATTTTTTAGCTAACTAAAATTATCCGCCTAACTTTTTAGTCTAATTAAAATTAGTCGACTAACTTTTTAGTTAACCGACTAAGTTTTTAGTTAACTAAATATACCTGACTTTGTTTTTAGTCCAACTAAAGAAATTTATAAATATATAAAATAAATTATTTTTGAATAAGTTTGCTAATGCATAATCATTTTACTGCATAACACCGAAAAATTAAAAAAATATCAAAATAATTTTATTTCAATTTTTAATGCCGAAGGTTTAACAAGATACTTCAAGAAAGTATTTCAAAAAAATCCAAAAAGTGAACATGGTAAAACACAAATATCTTTAGAATTGAATAAACTACCAAGGCCAGCGCAAAGGGGTAAGAGGTTGGGGTGTTTGGTTTTGTGTGACATCCCATCAAAGAACTTTTAGCTCATTTAGTAAGCCAATTTGAGTCTTTTAGATAAGTAAGTCGGCAAATGTAAATTTTCAGAACAGTCACTTGGTAAATTTTAAAAAAAAAGTTTTTTTTTCCTTTTTTTAGTCAGCTAAAATTTTAACAGCGCTCTCTATGTGTTACCTACTCATGCTGGCCCTGTAAGCTACAGTATATTACAATAGTTTGTTTTTATTATGTGCTGCTTTTTTGGATCCAAATTATAAAAGTTTTCAATTCTTTGAAAAGTAGGAGAAAAAAAATTTTTTTTTAGTGCGTTAGAGAATTTCTGTCGGAATTTCATTTGACAAAAAAAGTTTGTGATATAATTCCAGTTAAAAAGGTGACAATCAAATCAAAAAAATTTAAGTTATCATTTGATGATGATGATGATTCCGGAAATGATAGTGAGAAAATAATAAATTTAGATTTAAAAAAAGAAATTAGTGGTTATATAAAATTGTCAGTAAATGAGCAAAATGTTTTTATACATTTGGCATCAAAATCAACATGTGTTTCCAATATTGTATTGTATTTCAACAATGATTTTATGTACGCCTACTATAAGTGCACCAAGTGAAAACCTTTTCTATGATGCATTAAACACTTTGTATGCAAAGCGAAACAATGACAACTGAATGTTTTCAAATGTTAATGTTTTTGTACTAAAGTTTGTAATTTTTTAATTTAGTTTAAATTAATTAAATTTAATACTGAAGTTTTTTCTTGTAATAAGTATTTTTTAATACATTTTATTGTTCTTAAATAAATATTATTAAATTTAGTATTCAAACTCTTTTGTGTGATGCTGATTTTTTTTTGTTACAAAAATGTAATTTTTTTTTGTTACAAAAATGTATTTTTTTTTTTTACCTTTATTATTTTAATAGTTACATTTTTCAAGTGATTAAAATGTCATAAACAATTTCCTGGTTTTAAAAGCGACCGCAGTTACTTAATAAAATGTTTTCATTATTCAACAGTTAAGTATTATTTAATACATTTTATACACTATTCAACCACTTATATTGCGGAAATTGCATTTTAAAATGCAGTTACCATTTTTTAAATTTTGTATCGCCAACCGACGAACAACTATACTATGAAAACAATAAATATATTCATAATAACTTATTTAACGATTACCTAATTGGTTTATGTCAATACTTTGACCTGCCTAACTGTAGTGTTTGCAGGTTATAATAGTCGGGAGAGAAGGCGCAACAATAAATGTTTGTATATTGCGTATTGTATTTGTGGTGGTGGTTATGTTAACATTACAATAGGTTTGGGGAGGGTTAATAAAGGGAAGGAATTTAATGCCCATTAATAATTTTAAGTGAATACAATATTTTAATATCTTCTGTATTTGGAAGAACTAGAATGCAAAATGTTTCTACTGTATTGTTTCTAATTTTTTTTTACTGTATTTTTCAATCTACTATATTTTGTTTTCTGTTATTTTTTTTTTACTTTTTTTTTTTAAATTTCGGGTGGTTATCAATTGTTAGGAGAGGTTGATATTTGAAGGGGTGGGGAGAGGGAGTCAAAGATTTGTTGTGAAAATTAGAGATTGAATCCATTCCTATAATATGGCAGGGGATAGGGTTGTACTGAACAACAATGATAAAGGGGGTGCAAATTAAAAAAAGCCTTTTTACCATAAAAATTTCACCAAAATAGGGCTTTTTTATTTTATTTAAAAGCCAAATTTCAGTTTTAACCGACCGAGTCTCAAATTTTCCAAATAACTGACAAAACCGACAGAATGTTGTAAACCTGGGAAGGTGCCCACACCCCTGTCGGTACGGCCTTGACAGAAGAGACTATTTTTGATGTGCGATTATTATTGCACACTACCTATAGGACGCAGCACATAAAAAATATTAGTTAAATATTCAATAAGTGTATCAAATTTGATTTAATTGACTAAAGGGCATTATTTGTACATTTTATGCTGATTAGGTGTTTATAAACAGTTGCAACTACCTCATAGGCAGTTGTCTCCGAGCTAGGAAAAAATAAAAATAATCAAATTTTGCTTAAAATATTTTTTTTTAATAACAGTTTAGTTCAACGGGGCTCTAGGATTCACAATTAGTAAATTGTTGAATTTCGATATAATAATATCTATCGCCTTAATAAAGCTTCCTTGTGTGTAAAATTTTTATTGCTTTAGTAGACTAAATTTAGTTACACTAAATTTTTTTTTTTTTTTTTTTTTAATTATTCACCTTCTCAAGGCCCGAGAGGGCCACTACAGTCGAGGAGGCTACTCTTTTTTTTTTTTTTTTTTTTTTTTTTTTTTTTTTTTTTTTTGTTGTACATCGTGGTACAACCCTCTCTCAACTCTTTAACTCCGAAACACAAACTCCGAAAAGCAAGATCGCTGCGCGGAGAAATTAAGTTGATTTTTTTTATACAACATATATTATAACATATATGTATATATATATATATATATATATATATATATATATATATATATATATATATATATCATATATTTATATATATATATATCATATATTTATATATATATATATATATATATCATATATTATAACATAATATAACATATATTATAACATAATCATATAACATCATATATTACCTTATATTGTCAACATTTTTTACTAAATTTTAATTTTGGTTTATAATTTTATTTAATTATATTATGTTACCAAATTTTTTTTTTATATATATATACATTTTCTGGAAGATGTTTTTAAAATCAAATCATCAATAAATGTAAATTTCAGTGTTTTTGTATCAAAACTCAATACATGAAACTTATACTTGTAAAGTTATAGCCATATAGATAGTAAAAATATCCATGTTCATGTCATGTGAGTAAAAATGTCCTAATGTTCATGTCATGTAAGCCTTATTTATAGTGAAAATGTCATAACCTAATGTTCATGTGGTTTTTTTTTATTAATAAGGTATTCTAATATGTATTTAATCATTATTAACACAGGAAATTATTGGTTCAATAAATAAAAATAAAAAAAGTTCTCTTTCTTAAAATAGTTTTGTTGACTTATTTTGTATTTTATTTGTCATTACTTTTATAAACTTTAATAATTTTTTTTAATCTTTTTTTTTAATTTTTATTTGCCTATGCTTATTTATTTTTATGTTTTTATTCTAAGACAGGAAAATACAAAGTTACAACTTTATCTTGAAGAGCTTCCAACTTCTGATGAATACAAAAGTATTAAGAATGAAGTAAATATGTTGTTTCTATATTTAACATTAAAGTTTGAAATTTTTTACATTTTTATTTGATTTTAATTTATTTTAGTTTTGATTGTTAAGAAAGATAGTAGCATACATAAATGTTGTAAATGTATGTAATATATGTATATAAAACATATTTTTTAATTATGTTAAACATGTATATTCCTTATGTAAAGTACATCTGCTCATGTATTCATGTAAATTACATCTATTCTTACTTATGTAGAGCACACATGTTGTTAATTGTGTTCAATGAATGTTTTTTCTAATTATAAGGTAAAGTGCTTATTTAATTGGAGCCCACATGCTGTTAGTTGTGTTCAATTAATTTTTACTTTATTTTTTTAAGGTGAAGTCCTTAAAAAAAGATAAAGATACTGCAATGGATGAAATAGATTTTATAAAGAAGAAAAATGCAGAATTAAGAGAGGAAATATCTAAAAAGGTCATTTTTTTGTTTGTTGAGAAAAACCAAACATGATAAAAAATTATATTTTTGGTTTGTTTATGTTTGTTAAACTTTGTTAAACTTTTCTGAAGTTTATAAAAATCATAATTTTTTTAGACTGGTCAACAAGTAGAATGATATATAAAAAGTTTTTTATTTTAACTTCCGAAACTGAAACTAAAATATTATAATCACGTGAAAGAAAAAAGTTGTATATATTCCAAATAAATAGTGCTGTGTAATCTTTAGTCTGATTGTAACAAGTAAATTAAAATGACAAGAATGCATGAAATTTCAATTAAGCATACTTTCAACTAGGTATTAAGCAGGTCTTTTTAAGGTCTTGTAAATTAAAGACGTTTTAAAGTTTAGGTTTTTCTTTTATAACTGAAATAAGTTTCTCTGCGTTAAAATCAACAGAAATCTTCTATTGTTTAAATGGAATTGACCTTGATATCTGGTTTAAAAATAAGATGTCTTATGAATAAGATGTCTTGATGGAATTCTTTCTGTGACTTGGTGGTTCCAAGGAATAATATTTCATTTCAGTAACCAACTTATTAATTAGATTGATGATTCCTAAAAAACTTTTAGGAATCATCATTTTTAGAACAGAAACCAAACCATTCTATGCTTGCAACTCCAGTTCATTAAAAGTTTGGCAAAGGTTGTTGTCATACACTACCTTGCATATTTGAGGTGCTTCAAACTTCTAAGATATTGAAAATCCTCTTCTTCTAAACTTAAAAACCACAGGTACATAAAAAGGCATTGAACTTTTCTTTTTAATTATGTTTAGCCCAGAATAACATGTGCAGTAAATGTAAGGGGCTAAACATTTATCCTTGTTGCCAAGTTTGATGCAAAGCTAACTTTGAGATTCAGCTTTGAGTCTCTTGGCTTTTCTTTCTTTGATCTTTTGTAGTGAATTTTCTACTGATGTAAAAAATCTTTTTGTAGTGAATTTTCTACTAATGTTACAAATATTTTTGTTGTGAACTTTCTACTAATGTTACAAATATTTTTGTTGTGAACTTTCTACTAATGTAACAAATATTTTTGTTGTGAACTTTCTACTAATGTAACAAATATTTTTGTTGTGAACTTTCTACTAATGTAACAAATATTTTTGTTGTGAACTTTCTACTAATGTAACAAATATTTTTGTTGTGAGCTTTCTACTAATGTAACAAATATTTTTGTTGTGAACTTTCTACTAATGTAACAAATATTTTTGTTGTAAACTTTCTACTAATGTTACAAATATTGCTTAATAGTTACGATTGATTTAAATTAATCACATTCACACAAATTGTGAGGAAGAAAAAACAGTATTTCAGACAACGGCCTTCATTGCCACTGCCAGGGGATTTAATAAGAGTCATACTGGAAAATATTCTCATTAAATAAACTTCATCAAATTCATCATGTCATGCCTAATTAAATAAACTTAATCAAATATAAGTAGAAAAAAATTTGGGATTTGACTTTGGGTAAATATTTGGTAAATGTGTGATGAGAACTTTTAATAAAATTTTAAAATTCGGATACCAAAGTTACAATTTAAAACACTTTAAGCTACAATTTTCATCTTTACAGTATGTACATTTTTATTTTACACTATTTTCAATGTAACCTTTTAAAAAAGAAATTCTTTCTAAAACTAAATGAGTTTTTCTGAAAATACAAAAATCAGTTCAGAAGACAAAAGGTATTATATCACTTTTAATTATAAAGTAATTTAAAAAATTTGTTTTACATATAGTTTCTATATGAATTTTTAAGTTTTGAAGATATTCCAAAAAGACCTAATGGAAGAGCATATAAGCAGTTCACACCTCCTTCCTTACCCATGCCACATATCTTGCCAGAGCTGGCATCAAACCATCAGACCTCTTGATTGGCAGCTATTTTATATATGTATATATATATATATATATAATATATATATATATATATATATATATATATATATATATATATATATATATATATATATATATATTATGTTGGCTCTTAAAACAACTTTTTTGAGAAAAACCTGCTCCCATTCCATAAATTTGTTCTATCTAATACAAAAACACTAGGTTTAAAATTTTTTTGAATAAAAAATATTTTAAGGGGTCCCTCAAGACCCTCGAATATTTAATGGGTCCCAAATATTTTCAAAACAAAAATATGTCAACCTGGTACTTAAATGAAGCGAAATTATATAACAATTTCAAAAATTAAATTCATTTTGAAAAATTTTTAACTGATCAAAATTATCATAAAAAAATATTTTTTTTCATTTTTTTGTTAAAAAACGTAATTTTTTAAGTAATATAACCAAAAATAACAACTTTTTTCAAAATAAATATTATTTTTGAAATTTTTATATAATTTCCCTTCATTTGAGAATCAGGTTGACATATTTTTGAAAAACTTTTTCGAAAATATTAGGAATCCATTAAATATTCAAGGGTCTTGAGGAACCCCTTTAAATATTTTTTATTCAAAAAAATTTTAAACTTGGTGTTTTTGTATTAGATAGAACACATTTAAAGGGTGGGAGCAAATTTTTCTCAAAAAGGTTGTTTTAAGGGCCACTCTAATATATATATATATATATATATATATATATATATATATATATATATATATATATATATATATATATATATATATATATATATATATATACACAGTACCTACTCAAATTATTAGACTCAAACTCAATTTTTAACTTTTTTATATATAATCTATATATTGATATATAAAAAGCATATTATGCAACTTAATACTTGGTGATGATTCCTTTTGACTCCTTTTGAAAGAGCTTTGATACCTTGGCATACTATTTACTCACTTTGAGGTCAATGCTTTAACATCTGGATCTCAATACCATACTTCGATTAGTTGTTTTGTGAGTTTCTGTTTACTTGTTAAATGCAAAGTCACCACTTTGCATGTTACAAGCACCCACAGATTTACAATAGGGTTTATATCTGGAGAATTGCCAGGCCAATCAAGTAGCTCAATACTCTCATTAGCAAGAAAGGTCTTTATGGATTTTGCAGTACAGTAAAGATCATTATTTTGCATGAAAACTACTTTTTTTACCAATAGGAAACCACTCTTGTATCTGTTGAATCCAACTAGTCTGTCAGAAAGTCTTGTACTATCTTGTTTCATCATCCCATGTACAATGTAAAGACTGACTGATACCCCTGCTCAATATGCATGACTAAAACATTACAGTGTTTACAGTGCATTTTGACTTTGATGTTCTTTTGGTCTGCAACAGACGAATGTGGCTTTTTCTTCCAAAGTCTCAAAGGTAGATTCATTGCTGTTTACAACCTGACTAAAGCAATAAATATTGATGTTTTAAATATTTCAAATATTAATAAAATGAATTGGGATAAGATATTAATGCAAAAACATCTTCTAAAAACTTGTAATATTAAAGTATTAATTGCTTATGTTTCAGGAGAAAACTAATGGAAAATTTACCTTATTCTAGTCATCTTGAGAAAAAGAGGAGTGCTTTTTAGCCCATGTAAGACGTTTTTTAATCATTGCAGGCCTAAGTTACGGCTTTTTCAGTGGCTTTTTAAATTTAAATCCAAACTCATAACTTCTCCTTCTTAAAGATTCTAGTGAATTTTTTTATTTCTTGGTCTTTTAAAACAATTTTCAGTTTTATTGATGATATCTTCTGAATTTTGTTCAACAACTTTTTTTATTTTTCTGTGATCTCTAGCACTTGTAACTCTTTTTCTGCCACAGGACTCTGTTTTCTGCGCTTCTAATTTGACCTCCATTTTAAGTTTAGAATTTGTTGCTCTGACTGTAGCCATGATAATTTTGGCAACTTTGGCATTATTTCTTTGGATGTAACTTGTTTCTTGCAGAAGGACAGTTACTTATGCATATTTACTAGAAGAAACATCACTAGATTTACCCAATATTAATCCTAAAATAACTCCAACATTAATTAAGTTATTATATGACTGCACAGTTTAAAAAAATCAACTTAAAAACAACTGAAATTTTATTATTTAAATTATAAAGACAGTCATAAATAATGTAGGTCCCTAAAGACATATTAATTGAGTTATGACAGACAAAATTAACTGAAAGTTTTTAATTTTGCATAATTTAAACTTACCATAACTTTTATAAAGTTGAAAATATTTTTTAAAATTAAATATATTTTATAAATTTTCCTAATTAAAAACAAAAAATGAATGACAGGAAGTTAAATTGCACATAAACAACAAAAATTAAACATTAATCCCTACCTATCAAAGAAAATCCAAAAAACTAACAAAATCTGGACATTTCTCTTTTGAATCTAATAATTTGAGTAGGTACTCTATATATATATATATATATATATATATATATATATATATATATATATATATATATATATATATATATATATATATATATATATATATATATATATATATATAATAACTAAATTTTATATATGCACACACACACAGATACACTTAAATGAAAAATAGTTAATGAAACTTATAATGAAAGCAGGATTGATGCTGGTTAGCCATCAGAGCCTCCAATAAGCAATCTTTCAACTTACAGGCAGGTGATTCAACAATCATACCTTGTTTTTAGTCCTTAAAGGTTGCTTCAAAAGTAATAAGTAAGTTAATCTGTGGAGTAGAGTAAGTTTTAATCTCTGTTCCATTCCAAGAAATAAGACATACTTGGTTAAAGAGTACTGTCTGCTGAATGAATTTGTAAAAATGCAAGCAAATACAAGAATTTTGTTGATTATGGGCTTCAGATACTAGTTTGCAATGATAGGTTAGAAAAAATTTCTAGTGTAGTTTTGTTTTTTGTATGCAGTATTTTCAGCTTAGTGATAATATAAACAAATTTAATTATTCAGAACATGAATATTTTTATATGATAAGTTAAATACTAAATAAAAAATTTATACTTTATAATTCATATTATTTTATGTTTTTATAAGACCATACTAGTTTTTCTGTTAATTTATACAAAAAATGTTTCAAGTTTCAAATATTTCAATTTATTTTATCATTTTCAAAATATTTTTATTATATATAAAATTTTTTTGTTTAGACCTGTGATGTGTAAGAATACTTTGGATTGCAAGACAATCCAAAGCTTATCTCTCCAAAAAGGTAAATAATTTAAAAAAAATTAAGTTAATATATAGTTAATTAGAGATTTTATAATAACAAGCTTAGAGCAGTATGTCAGAATCAATAGTGTATTTGAGAAAGAAAAAAAGTTTACTTTTATTTATTTTTCTTTTATCAACAAAATGTTTCATTATGTTTTGTTAGTAAGAATTAAAAAGCCTAAGAGTTGGATTGAGCCAGTAATTTCCTTAAGTTTTCATTAACTCTGATGTTTATATAGAGCTACTTAATCACCTTATTAGAAAAGTTTTAAATTGTTTTAGGTGCCAGCTTTGGATAGAGAAAATTTAAAAGATCAAAAATCGAAAATTGCAACCAGAGGAAGATTTCAAATTGGTATGATTGATAGAAAATAAGTTGCCAAGGAAAAAAATGCAAGAAAGAGAAATTAACGAGAAGATAAAAAAAATGTATTAAGTCACTTGCATAGAAATCAATCTGGGTGCTGAAGATTAACAGATAAGCTATTTGAGTATTTAGTGCTCAGTAGCTGTTAATAATACAAGTTCAAATACAGTGCTGATAACAAAATAATTTTTTAAATAAAACTTAAATCTTTTAGGGTGTTTGCTGCTTCATGTAGAACTACCATGTTAGTCATTATATTTCTTTTAGATGGAAAACAAAATAGTAGTAAGTCTTACAAGTAGCTGATAGGAGAATCTGCATCTGATCAAGCCAAGGAGAAGCCCTTCATGAACAGCAATTGGACTGACATAAAACAGTACTGACATAAAATAAAGTCCAGTGAAATCTTTATAAGCACTGTGTTGGTAATTAAGTAGGTTTTATTTCTAAAAAATTTCTTGAAAAAAAATATGCATCATTTCATCATCCTATATGGATAATTTTGATGGTGTGGTGTTAGGACTGAAGAACCATCTCCTGAGTTATTAGTTATAACTAAATATATTGTTCAAGTTTATTGCCTAATATGGTTGCTATTAAGCACTATAAAAAATACAACAATGCTTGTCAACTCTTATACAAAACCATTCAGTTAGTCAAGTTTTAAGATAACAGGGTTCAAAACATAGTTTTTTAAAAACCTACAAAGAAATTTATTCTATTTTTTTGCAAGAAAATTTATGCTGTAGTTTATGCTGCAAGATAAAAATCAAAAGAAGATAAGAAAGCAACCCCTTAAATGTTTAAGATTAGAACATTACAAGATGACATAACATAAAGACAAAACACAAGTCAAAATCTGTGGTAAAAACAAGTTTTGATTCTTGGGATTTTCTTCTGTTTCTGGTTATGATATTCAGGTTGAGCCCTTGGCAACTTTTTATATGGCAACTTTAGAAAAATTCTGATAAGTTAATTTTTTAACTCTGTCTTAATTGATATGCCTGACAATTCTCAACCTGTCAAGAGCAGTAAAACAAACCTCAGAGTTAAATCATATTTTATTAACTTTTAAGTCATTTTGATTTAAAAAATAGATTAAAATTTAATAAAATTTGATCAATCCAGTTTCTCAAAGCAAATATAACTAAACTAATATTTTGTTTATTAAAATTATAATAAACAAATACCAGGTTGACTCTTTATTATTTTGTTTAAAAAAACACCCTCTTGGCAGTGGCTTATTACATACCGATTAACAATCAATCTTATAAGAAAAACTGTATTCGATAAAATTCTGTTTTTGTAATCTGCTTAACAAGATCAGTAAAAAAACTTTGGGTAGCAGAAGAGGGGAGAATTTTTTATGTTGTTGACCAGTGTTATTAAAAATTATTAAATTTTATGAAAAATTATTAAATTTTATGAAAAGCTAAAGTTTTTAAATAGTTTTATTTTGCGACATTTTTATTTGCTTCATAAAATCACTTTTGAAGTTAACTCGGTATGTGTTTATGAAAAATTTACAAATCTTTTTAATCATTTCTTAAATTGTTTTTTCGTCAAAAAAAGGTTGTAATAAAAAGGTATTATTTAAAATATTTTAAACACTTTTTTTTTTTGCATAAGCTTTAATGGTTTTTATAATATAGTATATTCATTATTATTTTAATTGACAGTAAAAAGTAAACCCTTTGTTTTCTTCCACTCTTCTTTCTTCGCAAAATATTATTATTGTAGTTATATTGTTATTAGCTTGGTTTCACTCTTTTGACATAAAATACCTCATATTTTAATGATTTAGTTTGTTTTTTTCTTCTTCTTTTAATCATTGTTATTATTATTATTATTATTATTATTATTATTGTTATTATTGTTTATATAAATAAAGTTCTGTATTTTTGGTGTTTACTCTTTAATAAAAGGAGGGGGGGTGTTTATTATGTTTTCGAAAATTTTTCCACCCACCCAAATCTTTTTAAGATCCCCCCCCTCCCCTGTTTATTAATTTTTACTTGTTATCAACCACAAAAAAAATCAGTGAAAATCGGCCTTAAAAATTAAAAAACAATTATTTCAGTCACTGATAAAAACAAAAACTTTCAGTGTAAACTTTAAGAATCGCCCACCAAGTAAATCTCAACTTGTCAAACATGAGCTTTTGGACTATTTCTTACCAAAGTTTAAAACTTATATCAGCTTATTAAATCCTATTGAAGTTATTATAAAACAGCTGTTAGAAAATGCACATTTGGTCACAAGCCACGCTAGAATGAAATAGTTTTATGCATGTTTTGTAAAAAATATTAGTTTTTATTAGGATTTATAAACTGAAATTTTTATAAAAAATACTTTTGATGTAACGTAAAAAAAAAATTTTTTTCTGATGTTTTGCATAAATAAGACAATAAAAAATTGAAATCTGCTAACATATTTTATTTATATAAACAACTGTGTGTGTTGAATCTTTGTTATTATATATATATAACCAAAACTAACTTTTTTTATAGGATTCACAGTCTCAAGAATTGCTTAAAACAATTAACAAATTAAAAGATGAAATAACGAGGTTAATTAAAAATTTAAAAAATGCTTTTGCCTGTCACTCACTTGTGGTTGTTACTTATTGTATATACATTATAAAAAATTTTTTAATTTAAATCTTTTTTCGTTGACAGACTTTCCACCAGCCTTGAAAGCTACAAACAACAAGATGAAAAAGGGCCATTTTCTTTAAAGGAGTTTCAGGATGCAATCACTAAAATAAAGTTTTTTGAGAGTGAAAACACACATTTAAAAAAGGTCAATAACTTTTTGTGTAAAACAAAAGATTTTTTAAAAGGATTGTTGTATTAACTATGAAGTATTTTTATCAATCAAGGATTTAAACTTTAAATTTTTGTTAAAGAGTTTTCACCTTTAAACAGTTTTTTTGAGAACTGAGAATTGAATTGAGTATCAAACTTTTGATCTGAACTTCAGTAAAATGTTTCATTGACAAGTTTTTGAACTTTTTTTTTTTTTTTAATTTTTTACTTTTTTAATTGATTTTTTTACTTTGAATTTTTCACTATTGAAACTTAAATAGAATGCCAAAACTATTCTTCAGTAGTTTATTGGTTTAAAGTTTGTTGGACTATTAAACTGTTTGTTTATACTTAAGTTTAAATTAAAACTTGGGTGAAAAGTTAAAAGCAGTTATAACTAATCCAATTCAATAATAACGTTTGAACAGGTTATGTGATGAATAGAGATAGTTAACAGTGTGATGTAGTTTAAAACAGATTTGTAAGAAAAATAAATAAATAAAGTTTAAATTTATTATTTTTTTAGTCTCTGGAAAAGCGACATAAAAAACTAAATCGCTTGCATTATGATTTACTTGAAAAAGATAAGCTGATGGAGGAACAGAAGACTTCTTATGAAAATACTATCAGGCTACTAACAGATGATTTGAAAAATAAAAATTTATCAATAACAAAGGTTTGTCATAAACATTAAACAAGGCCAAAAATAAGAAGCCTAGGTCTACTCAAAGTTGACAGCGATTATTTTTTACACCATAAGTCGACATAAAAAATTTTCTTTTTTAATTCATTTTTCAGTAACAGATGTTGCATAGATTAAGTTTTTGTATTGTAAAAAAATTTAAGTGATCAACTAAGCGCTTTTTTAAAAAGAAATAGGAAATTTGTCGACTTAGCGATTTGAACGCATGCACATATATTTCAACTTGACGTCATAGAAATAGTATAAAATAAATTTTATATGCATATTTTAAAGTTTATTTGTCATTTTTACATATATTTATATTAAAAAAATTTGTAAAAACATAGAAATATTAAAATACAAGTTTATATATTAAATATTGTTGACTTGACGCAAGATTTACGAGTAGAATAAGTCTACTTATAGTTGAAAAATAACATATTATATGATGTCTAAATGTTAATTTTTTTTTTAAACTGGTCGTATATTATTTTAACTAAATAGTTTATCTATATTTAAAACAAAAATTATAATAAATATATCTTTATATTTCAAACAAAAAATGCAATCTCTTAACTATCGACCTATTGATCGTATATGTAACACAAGTAAATATACGCGCTTTTAAAAAAAGTTATTGTTTATAGTTTTCTGCGTTTTTTTTTGTTAACGATTTTCATGGAAATCTCTTGAGTATAATTTAGACATTACGATGGTATCTTTTTTTTTTTTAATTTCCATTGAACTAATCGTTACTAAAATTAATTCAAACGTAAAGTCGACAGGAAATCTGTCGACTTATGAAAAGTGTCGACTTGACGATGGTTATAGAGACATAGTTTGTCGACTTTAGGCTGACCTAGTCTTATATATATATATATATATATATATATATATATATATATATATATATATATATATATATATATATATATATATATATATATATACATATATATATTAAAATAATTTAAATGAAAAAATACAACTTTATAATGGATTTTAAAGTTTCATGCCTTTTGGCAATCATCAGCCATATTATTCAAAAATATAAAATAACAACCATTATTAAAAATACAAGTTTAGCATTGCAACGGCTTCTAGCATCAAATATATGTGATCTAAAATTTGACTAATTGCTGGTATCAAAGTGAGATAGTAAAAAAAAAATTCTATGCCTACATGCAGAAACTAATTCACTTTTTTTGTTAAATAAAGATCCACTATCTAAAGTCATAACAAAATATTTTTCATAAATACAAGGGTCACACTTTTTTGTAGATGGGTTGTAAGATTGGCATCTTTTAATTATGTTCCTTTTGATTATAGTCATTTTACCTGTGTCTTTATGTTTCCAGATTTTTTGGAAATTTCTGTGTCATTTCTATACTTGGTTGCATTAAAGGATTTAAGGTGACTTACAAAGCTTAGCTTGAATGCGTTTTCACTAATACTGATTTAAGATTTTTTCGAAAGACTGGGATTAGGTGATGCTAAAGTGGCTTTATATAAAACATTTTTTGATAGACATTGGCTATTTAATGAGCATGTGGTTTTCTTAATGCAGTTGTAGTATTATTATTGGTGAATTGTTGCGCAAAATTTGTTGGTTATATGAATTAATAATTGGTGGAATATTCGGCAGCTGTAACTAACTTTTATTGTATTTCTGTTTTTGGGAACATATGATGTAATGGAAAATTCAATTAAGTTTAAGAAAAGATGTCCAATATTGGTTACAACATATTTACTGAAAAGAGGATTAAACCATATAATGTTTCTTTTTTGTTTATTAGTATAAAAAGGATTTGGATTTGAATGGTATTCGAAATTAGTGTGAAATCCAGACTTTTCTAATGCGTTTTTATAAATAGGAGCAGTCTTTTGAAAAAAATTTTGCTTGAAGAATCGAAAGACAATTGTTTTAAAATGCTTGATAGATGGTTGGAACTAGCATGAATATAATTTAATATATTATCAGGCTTATGGTTGAAAACTGCAGTTGTTAAGTTTTAATGTTAACAGGTAGTTAACAGTTTTTATATTAGATTGAATGGAAATACGTTGTTTTGTTTAAATATTTGAGCAAAATACCTTTAAAACCAACAATTTATAGAATTATATATAAAATCTTTAAGATATATAAAATAAAATGTATAAAATAATATAAGATACATAAAATTTTCGTCTTTTATGTTTTCCTTAATTGATAACATTAATAGATAATTCTTAATTGATATTATTATTATTTTTTTATTCTATATAATTATATATTTGCTATAATTTTCTGACATTTTTTCATAATATTTGCTTTAGTAGTTTCTAATAAGTCATGTTTGCCTCATTTATTTAAACATACTTACCTTGCCTACTAAAATTACTTACCACAAACATCTTTTGATTGTGTCACTAAAATAATAGTCTTGCTTATCACAAATATCTTTTGATTGTTCCACATAAAATGATAGTCTATAGAAAAAAAAGAGAATTCATTTTTTTTTTTTTTTTTTCTTTTTTAGGTTAATGCACAAAATCAAGAAATTATGTCTTCTAGTCTTGATTATCAAAAAGAGTTGAAAAAAGTAACATGTTTAATTTAGTTTTTTTAATAACTTATCGCTTACACTTTTTATAAATAATTTAAAAATTATAAATTATATTTAAAAATTGAAAATTATAAATTTTATTATAAACTGGAAAAACTATTTAGTTTTCTTACCTAATTTAATTTCTTTGCTTGAATACTTTGATTAGTTCATTTAGTAATTTTGATGTACTTTGCACTTTTGTATAAAAGTATTTATTTGTTATAAATATATTTTAATTGAGTAGTACAAAGATTGCTACACTCAAGAATATATGGATTCTTTCAACATTCTCTTTAAAGAGGTATTTATTTTATATATAAAAGCAACTTCTTTTATGCAAGTTTATTTTGAAAAAACATTGATTTATTTTCAGGGGCGGGTTTAGCTTTTTAAAGAGGTTAGTCAAAAAAGTCGGTTGCGGATTTTACTGCCCCCTCCCCACGAAAGGACAGGGGGGGATGAAGATGAAATACAAAAAAAAGCACCTATAATATATATAATATAGTATAACAAATCATTAATTAAATAGGCAAGGTTTGCATAGTTAGGTGACTTGCAAATAGAATAAAAACTATGTAAAAGTAAACAACTACAATAACATTAATACCATAATTATAAAAAAACTATAATGTAATTGATTAGTATGACTATCATACTATGAGAAATGCAATAACACAAAAGCAATAATATGATAACTAACCATAAAAACCCATTTTGTTATTTTATTTCATTGATAGATATGCTATATAATGTTAAACAATTGTAATATTAATGTTCGTAAACAAAGTTATGCTTACATTTAATGTGTTGCATGTGTTTATTTTCTCTAAACTGTTGAATAATGATCAATAAAGTAAACTTCAAATAATGAAAGCTTACTAAATTAAAACCATATTTCAACTCAAATAACCACACAAGGTAGAATCTCAAGGTAGAGCTGAAAAAAAGGAGAAAAAGTATATAATAGACAATGAATATAATGCTCCTAATTAAAATAACAAAGATACAGTACATAACGGTACCAGTTTCGATTAACAATTGACAGGTAAAACTGAAGATAAATATAGAAAAAAAGAATACAATAAAAATTAGACATGTTTAAATTTATAAAGATAATAAAACTTCATGAAAAAAATAAAATAACAACTAAAATAAAATAAATAATCCTTTTAAATAAATAAAACTGTAAAAAATAAAATAACTATATTTTTTAATTTAAAAATTATACAAACTTTCTATTTGAAGAAGATCTTAAAGATACTGAATAAAGATTAGTATATACAGTGTATATACAAACCTTTATTCAGTATCTAATTTACAATGTAAAAAACACATAAATTCTTCCCTAACATCATAGGAATTGTCTATTAATCTAATTATTAAAGACAATTATTCCTGATTGGAGCAGTCAGAAGCTTCATCAGCAGTAACTGAAAAAATTCGATTTTCTTTTATTTCAGAAACCAAAATATTCTGGATGTCCTTTCCCCACAACTTATTAATTCATTCTGTGAGGAATTAGAAATATAAGATGCATTCTTTGCACAGCTGTTAAGATAAAGTTCAAGAATTTTATCCCCACCTCTGATTCTGTAGTTTAAAAGTTCAATAAAATTACCTACTCCACCCACTAAAGAATATTTGCCAATGACCATCACAATGACCTCTGAAAGCTATATTAAGTTGACCTAAGAAAATGATTTTCTCACAAAACAACTTTTTACAATTTAAAGCTTTTTCACATTCTCCTTTTCACATTCTTTATTAAAATATCTATATTTTAAATATTTCTATTCATAGTATTTAAAACTGTGGAAAATATGGTCCAGGCATTATAATGTAGAATTTGTACTGCGTGATGATGTTCATAAATATTTCAGCTGAGTGATATTTATAATTATTCCCGTTTTTCCCATGGTAATGTCTATTAAAAGTGCTCACAGCATCTGGCCTATATTTGAATGACTGAGAACAAATTTTTAAATCTAGAAGTTTTTGAAAGGTATTTATATCTAAACAAAAGGCAACACAAACAAAATGCTTCATCTTCAGAAGGTAAATATCTAAGCCATGAAAATTGTTTTAATGATAAAAGTTTTTAAAGATTGTCCATTTGTTTTTAAAAAAGAAGTTTCATCAGGAACAAAAACATTTTGAATCAAATTTTATATTTGTAAATCTTTCAAAGTAGAAGCCTTCGAACGAAACAACAAATTAACAATATCTGATGATGAACATAGAATAAGGTTCAATATTAAGATTAAACATAATTTTATATTTTAGGAAAAAACTGTTCTATAGTAACACTTAAGTCTTGTAGAACACACAGTTAAAAGAGCAAGAACACAAAGAAACACAGACCATAAAAATTCTTTACACATATGAAATGTTTCTTCCTTAACAAGGTCATTTTTTAATTTTCCTGAGTCTATAAAATGTGTGGATACAGACACTGCTAACAAATTATCAATTGATAAAAACTCATTTGGATACATTGAGCACAAGCTTACAAACAATGGATGATTACTGTAAAAAGAGGCATTTAAATATAAATCAATTGCTGTCAGTATTTTTAAACCCATTGCCAGACTATTATCACCACACAGATAAATCCAAAATGAGCTAAATAAGCAATTGTCAGTTGATTCAGCTGAATCAGATCTGATCAGATCTGTACCAGAGCTGTAACTGATCAGAGCTGAAACAGATCTGATCAGATCTGTAAAAAATGCAATTAAAAATTTTTAAAGTAAAAAAAAATCTACAATAAGCTCAATGGAAAATAAACTTGGATTTAATCATTTATTTACAATAAATCAGTTTGGTAAAAAGTTGAACCAATTAGATCAAGGCAAAAAATGTATTTTATAATATTATTACTATATAAATTTACATCCCCAAATGAACGAACGCAGGGATAATATGTTTACAAATTTTAAATGTAATTTTTTATTTTACTTGTTGGGATAAATAAAGTAAATCTTACTTCACCGCCTAGTTGTTCTTGACTCCTGAGGAATGTCGTGCTCTACTCTTTATTGACTTATGAACAGTCAACAACTGATAAAAATCTGACTTATGAAGGAGATTAATCTTTACTGACAATTCTGAATAAATAGTTTGTAAACTTTCAATAAATCCATTTTCAAGCAAATACCTTACAGATTGTAAATGCATGCCAAATCAAAAATTATTTAAAATTTATTTAAAACATTCAAAGAATTATTGTTAGAAAAGGCTTCTTTTAAATTAGTCAGGGGGCAATCATCATATATTTAAATTCGACTAACTTGGCCTGAAGTTACGCTACCGAACGACAAAAATAAAACAATTTAAAGTGCTTTAAAAAGTTTTTAAAATCTCGTCAGCCGAATAAAAGGGCCAGATAAGTCGCAAGATTTTTTTGACTAACTTGGCCTTAAGTTACGTTACCGAACAGTAAAAATAAAAAAAATTTAAAGTACTTTAATAATTTTTTGAAATCTCGTCAGCCGAATAAACGGGCCAGATAAGTCGCAAGATTTCTTGACTAACTTGGTCCGAAGTTACGCTACCGAAAAAAAAAATTACAAGACGGGGCAAGTATATTGCGTGCGCATATACTTATCATAGTTTAATTGGTATTGCTGTTTAGACCAAAAAAATAGAGATTTTATTTAATTTCAAAAATCTCAAAAATATATAACCTATTTCATTAGCCTGATCGTTGTTTAGTTTAGTAAAAAAGATGTTAGTCAATGCGCCTAACAAGACTAACCCTAAACCCGCCCCTGATTTTCATTGTTAGCATGCAATTATGTTATTAAATTATAATTGTGCAATCATTTTGTTTATTAAAAAAATGTTATTATTAAAATATTATGTTATTGCTATATGTTATTATTTAAAAATGAATTAAAAACAGGTTATACAAAGTTTTGTTCAATTAAAAAATTTAAATCAATTTTGGATTTAAATAAGAAAAAAAAGTTGTTTTTTTTTTTACCTTAAGTACTCTTTTTTTTTTTTGTATTTGCCATAAAACTAAAACTTTCAAATTTTAGTTTTACTTTACAAAAACTTCAAATTTACTTTACAAAAACTTCAAATTTACTTTACAAAGGCTTTAAATTTTAGTTTTACTTTTGGTAACATCAAAATTCAAGTGAATAGTTGCAAGATGAACATGTTTATTATATTGATGATCTTCTTTACACGTGTTTATAATATTATATTTTGCAGTGTTTATAATATTATATTTTGCAGTGTTAGGCAATGATAAGTTATTTGCATTTGATTTTCCTTTTATAATTTCTTTTAAATTCTTTAGTTAGATTTTCAATTTTTTTGATATTTGGTTGGCTTATTGACATTATTAATAAGTTGCAAGTTGCTAAAATTATTTGATAGAAGGTTTATTTTTTATTTGTTAGAATATAAGTAAGTTGCTAAAATTATTTGATTGATTATTGACTAGAAGATTGTAATTTAGGCTTTGATATAGTTTTTGTTCTTTTTAATGAATTAACTCCTCACAAGGCTGCTTTTAACATAAAGTTAACATAAGCTGTAAATTGTATGGAACACATGAAGAAAGTGATTTTTTCTATTGCTCAAATAAAATTTTAAATGATGGTAGAAAAAAACTACAGTTACAATAAAAGGATGCAACTTTGCTAAATGATGTACTACATGAGATTTGGTTGATAGAACAAGTGATAATAGCTCATTTGAGCAGCAACCATGATATTTGTAGAAAAAAAAAAGAGATGTAGTCTTACATTGAGTGGTTCAAGTTTGACTGCTGGAGCAGGTCTATCACATTTACAACTTGATTTTGAGTCTAAATGTAAGATGATGCTTATTAGAAGAACCAAATATGACAGCAGTATTTCATAAAATGAAATATAATAGGCATTTCGAGTTAAAGAATCAAGAGTGAGTAAGCTATGAGTTAAAGAATCATGAGTGATTAAGCTATAATAACAAAACCTAAGCAGATGCTGACTTTGCAATTGTAAATATGATTTCCATGAAAGTTAATGCTGAATAAAAGACACAAAAAGTGGAGAGCTTCGTATAATGTTGTGATACATAAAAAGCAGTGAGAATGTTTTGATGCATCAAAAAAGTCAACATCAGTGATAATTGTTAGCAGTTAACAATTGAGTTTGATTCAAAATTCACCAACTCAAATGAGAAATTACATTAAAGGACTGTTATAAATGATTTAAGTGTGATGTTTATATATATATATATATAAATATATATATATATATATATATATATATATATATATATATATATATATATATATATATATATATATATATATATCAAATGTAAAATGTAATTAAATATAATAAGTCTAAATAAACAATGTTTATTGTGTCAATATATAACACTGAAATTAATTAAGATAAAATTGAGGAAGATCAAATTATTTTAGAAGTTTTTATACAGAGCTGCTTAACCATAAACTGTGTTAACCATAAGGCTTACCAAAATAAAAAGAATTTTAGTAAATTTAAGTATTATTTGTCTTATTTAAATCTGAAATTAATGTATGAATTAATATATTACCATTAAAGTTAAATTTAGTAGCTTAAATAATGAATTTTTAAATATTTCCCTTGAAAACCAAAAAAATGGACCCCTGCGTTTTTTTTCCAAAAAAACACAGTTCATCTCAAAGCATGTCTTATTTTTTATTTCAAAAAAAGAAATTTAAATTAAAAATCAGAATATCTTTCTCTTTATTTTTTATTTTTGTATTTAAAAAGTACAGAGCAATAACAAATATTGTATTTCTATTTAAAAATATTTTTTGAAATAAAAATGTCTAAAAATTTGTTAATTATTAAATTAGCTTCTATATTTTAATTTTAATTGTTAATTATTGAATTGTTTATTTGATTAAATTTATTTATGATAGTTTTAATTAAAATTATTTCTAAAAACATTAAATTTTGTTAAATTAAATTTAGAAATCTAAACCATATTTGCATTAAAAAGATTCTCTCTTATTTGTTATTGTACACAAATCATTATAAGTTGTTGTCTTTATTGTTTATCAAGATGCCATCAAAAGTTTCTAATTTATTTTTATAATCACATTAGATATGTAAATGTGCTGATGATGTTCGATCTTTTGTCAAGTTATGCAGTTCAAGAGTAAAAGGAAAGGAACCTGATTTGAATGCTCTTCTTGGTTTACATGGTAAGTTTTAATTTTTAATAATAATTTTTCACTTTAGTTAGTGTTTTTTAAGTTTAAATGTTAACTTGGTTTAAACGATAACTCTTGGTTACTTTTAAGTTTAAATAATAACTTTTTTTTTTTTTTTTTTTTTTACTTTTTACTATTCTTTAAAAAATAAGATTATCTTTTTAAAAAAAAAATAAAGTCTTTAATATTTTGAGTATTATAAACTTATATTTTTTATTCTATTTTTAGATTCACCTGAGAAATCCCAAACAATATTTCAAAGTGTTTTATTACCAACTCTAGACACCCTTCGGTTAAAATTTTCAGAGATTGCTGATGTGAGAAAAGAAGTTGATGGTTTGCGTCGCAGTGTTTGCGAGCATTATGCGCAGGAAATCGGGAATAATATGTGCATTAGTCAATAATGTTTTTCTTTAGTTAAATTTTGTAGTTTTCATATTTTTGTTTGAATGATATGAATTATTTTATTTTTATTTATTTTTTTCTGTTTACATTTTTCATTTCTAAAATTTTAAGTTAATGAGGGATTGTATTGCAATAATGACGGGTATATTAAGTGTATAATTTTTCTTAAGTATACTTTTTTTTTACTGTATTTTAAATTCTATCTTTTTGCAAAAAGTAAAAATTTAAAGTTTTGTCATTATAATTAGTTGATATTTATTCATAATTAATAATGCTCTAAGTAAGGTGTAGGAGGTGTGGAAAGGTGAAAGGTGTCAGAAGTTCCAAAAAGAATTTTCAGGGATTAGAGTCAAAGATTCTTTTTTTTTCTATGTAGTTTATAAGTTCCAAAATCATTTAGAAACTTTTGAGGTTTATTGAAAAAGAAAAAAAAAGACTTTAAATGTTTTAGAGTCCATTATTTCTAAACTCAGAGTTCTTATGTATAAATGTAGCCAGACATCTAAGTTCAAAAGTTATTGTTTTAAGAACTCATAAAGATGTGTTTTCATTAATGTTTAGAAGTTCCAAAAAATTTTTGGATCTCCAGAAATACAGGAGTCTAGTTCAAAATATCTTTCGCTTTCAACAAACCTTTTCTTGATTAAAATTAGAATAAAATTATTCTACTCTGCAATTATATTTTTAGTCTAAACTAATAAAAATAAATGAATTATTAAAATGTTATAAATATTAAAATTAAATAAAGTTTATATAAATAGCAAAAATAAAATTATGTTTTTTCAAAAAATATAATTTTAAAAATTAGATTTTTTAAAATTATAAAATTATAATTATAAAAAATTTTATTTTTTAAAATTTTTTTTCAAAATAAATTATAATAAATTTGTTATTATGATATTGGAATTGTGTATGATCTTTTAAAAACTATTTTTTAGACTGTTTTGTAGGAATGAAGTTTATTGAGACAAATTCCAGTATAAATCATTCTTGGTTCAATATCAGTTCAGTGTTTTTTTGTAGATATCCGAATCCATATAGTAAACATGTTCTTTCTGAAGATGTTATATCACGAAAACTTGAAAATAATATTTTAAAAACAATACGCTTACAGTCTAAGACTAATGATGCTCCTAACTGGTTAAAGCGTTTTCTACCATCTTCAACTGCTTATATTGTTGAAGAATCACACGTAGACTTGAAAACTGGTGTTATTATGACATATACCACAAATTTAAATTTGAAGACACTGCTACAAGTTGATGAAAAAGCTTTTTTCCTTAAATCCCCCGATGGCTCTACTAAAGTGAATCGTCAAGCTTATATTAAATCAAACTTATTCGGTTTATGTCATGCATTTGAGTCCTTTGGGTTAAAAAGATATTGTTCAAACATTTCAAAGATGGAGAAAAGCTTTGATTATGTATTAAAAATTAAATCTCCTCAGTCTATTGCGCATCTAAGTTATAATTTGCCAGACATAAGTAATACATTTCCAGTTTAAAATCTAAACATTTGTAATATGAGAGGGTTTTATTTTAATTATCTATCTTTTTAAATTTTTATCAAATTAGAATCATAACACTAAAATAATGATAACAGGTTGCATAATAAAGTTAAAAATACACAAATATTTTTGTATGTAAAAGTATTAAGATGCATATATAAATATCTCACACACATTTTTGTATATATAAGTATTTGAATTCATATATAAAGCAGTGTTTTATATTAAAGCAAATAAAAACAAAAAGTTTTTATTATATTTAGAACTACCAATTAATGAACTTTATATAGTCCTTTTCTACCCTCTTTCTTTTCCTTATCTTTTTCCTTTTAAAAGCTTGGGGTTAATAGAGCATAAGTTTATAACAAACATTATATTTAGTTTTGCTTAATTAATACTAAATTTTTATAAAATCAATTTTATACTAAGTTAAAGAAATTAAAGATTTTTAAAAATAAAACTGTTCTGTGTAGTTAAAGCTATTTTAAAATATTATAGCATCTGTATGATATTTTCTTGGCTACGACATATTTTTGTTAAATAATCAGGTCTGTGAATTATAAAAAGACAAAAAAAATTAAAGATTCTGTTTGTTTATTTTTTTAATTTTCTTAAAATCACAATTGTTTGTCCAAATTTTAATAAGATTTTAAATAAATAGATTTTTTAGTTGAAATTATCGTTTATTGGCAATTTTTCTTAATTATGAGCTCTTTCTTTAATAGAAAAATTAATAGAAAGATTGTGTTTTGACAACTATATATAGTTAATATAAGTCAGAACCGATTAGAACTAGGATCAATAGTAAATTAAGGAACTTTTTCAAAATTTTTTAACTAAATTCATGTTAACGTTGATGAACGGAATTGATCTAAAGACTCGAAAATGGTGTTCTATAGATTCACTATTACGGGTAGTAAAAAGGTTTTGAAAATTATATAAAAAAAAAAAAAGTTTCTTTAAATGTTAAAAAAACCTGAAGCAAAAAAAATTTATACCATTTAAAGCTTTTGTTAGGACATAATACGCTGATAAAACCATGCTAATTCCAAATAAAAGAATTTGAATAATTTGTAAATTGCCTTAACTACACTGTGTACTAAATCATCAGTTAAAAAAAATGTGCAACCCAATTTATTATAAAAATAATAATAAAAATTATTATTATTATTGTTATTGATAATATCATTATTGTTATTATTGTTATTATAATTGTTATTATTATGCAATACCATAT